TTCAACCTCATCACTATTTCTCCCCCTGGGCATGAATTAGATGCTTCATCCATTATAAAGCTGCTTATAATTTCTTGGGTTTTTTTTTTTTTTTTCTGCTTTTTATGTGACTCCATGAGCAAGTTGTATCCACTCTGCCTAAATAGGTCCTTACCACAAGCCTATCTTATCTGCCTCAGTGTCTGTTTTCTACTTCCTCCTTCAAAGTTCAGCACAGTTGACAGCTACTATGTTCCATAGGGTCTTAGAGACACTTCCGTTTTAAGCATATTCATTGAATTTAATTGTGATTACTCAATTTTTAATATCTGTTTCCCCCATAATGCCATAACCTTTTTAAGTCACGCTTGCTCTTTAAGCATGTTATAGTGCTTTTTGTTTATTGGTTGAGTGAACCACTAAGTGAATGAAATGGAGAACAAAGTTTGTCTGCCTAGAGGTCAAACTTTATTAACATCATCCTTAAACCAATGTGGCCAAAGAGCGTGGTGGTTGCAAACGATAGTCAATGCTAACTTTTAGATCATGCACTCTTCGTCTGAGAGCCATGATTCTGATCCAGCTAAGAGTATTTCAGCTTTTAATCCTGGCCCTAACTCAGCCACTCATTGACTGTTTACAGGGAAGTCTCATGAATTCCCAAACTTATTTCCTCATGAGTAATTGAAGACACTCTCTGCTCTAATGCTTTCAATACTATAAGACACTATGAGAAAGGTAGATGGTATTAGGTAGCTGACCAAATTTGAAATGTACTACTTCTTGTTTCTTTTGTGATGTCCAGCAGACTGCTTACCACCTCTTCTACTTGTTTATTTACAAAAATCCCAATATTTACGGACTTATATGTATAAGTTACTTAAGTTGCTTACATAAAGTTCAAAATAAAAGCCGGTGTGCTTAGGGGATTCCAAAGGATGGGATGCTCAATCTGATAGTTTATAAAGTGAGTTGTGAGTCAAGTTTCTATAATTCAACATGAATGAGACTAATGAAATTATATTTATTCTTTGTCCATCCTGGATTTTAAGTGCTTTGAGGTTTGAAAAAAAGAAACAAAAGTCAATAGTTACAGAAGCTCAAGACTTTTAATGGCCTGGAAGGAGAGTAAAATTTGAAGCATTCGTATTTATATTCTGTCACATTTGTGGCCAGTTTTGCATTTTTTGTAGTATTTCAAATAGTCAAAAGCATTAGCAAGTGAATATATGACTCATCCATAATTTTAGTAGTTAAATATGATCTGCTTATTAAACTTTTTTGAAGAGCATATATTTATTTCTAAAAGGAAGTAGCAATAATTAATCTAAATGATGAAATATTTTCCTAAATAAAAGGTCATAAAAACAAATCACTGAATTTCTTTTTCAAAAATATTCTAACATAATTGTAGTTTTAGGATGAAACTATAAAATCAAAATAATTAGTTTATGTTTTCTTTCTATCTTAAATGTTAAATGAATAAAACTAGTAATTTTGAAAAAAAGATGAAGAGAAGGAATTAATATTTGGGTAAAGTACCCTGTATAGAACCTCTAAAACTTCCATAAAATAAAATGTAATTAGAAGTTCAAAAATAGCCTTTACAGAGGTGTCAGAGAATGACACAGTATTAAAGTGTTTTAAGGATCCAATCTCCCTTGGTTTCCTAACAAACTAAATACAGTATTTATGAGGAGAATCAATACTGTGAGATACTTGGGGTGCTGTGAGCTTTTAAGACCCATTCTTTTACCACAGATAGCCTCAGAATGGAGTATTGTTTGTTGTTAGTTCATATCATATGTGGTGTTTCACTCTTTAAATATTGTCAGAGTGTCAACAGTAAGGATAAAATTACAACCATTTGAGTCCCCTATTTCTGATTAGAATGTTCTTTTGCTCTGGAGGAAACATTGCTATTTGGTTTAAATATTCAGACTAATTTCCCCCCAGAATTACCTCTTCCCCTTTCCCTTCCATCGCCCAAGCATCCTCTTTTCACCAGGCTTGCTGTCCGCCCTGGATGACTAATCGTCATGGCACCTGGTGCATTCAGGCAGGCCTGTGCAGCGGAATCGTCATACCTAGTTATGTCTGCACACCTGATGTTTTATTAACCAGTATTGATTTTTTTACCCTGGGGACTTTTTTCTTCCTGAAAAAAGGCAACCTTGCAGGAGTGAAAGGCATTGCAGGGGATGAATTTCTAATGAACCCCTTCTTTCCCTTTTTGTGTCTCCTCTTTAATGTAGCTTCATATTTTAAGTGCCTGAACTGAAATTTCATTTTAAGCAATTCCATTTTGATAAATCCTTTTAAATCTTGACTTTCTGTAAGGTTATTTTTTAAAGATTGTGCTGCTTGACTGAAACGCTTAGTAGTGCCTGTAAATTTGAGCATTTCATTATGGGTTGCATTGAAGCATGTTCACATGCAATGAAATACAGAGAATTTTGGACTATTTGAGTAATGCTTAAAGAAATAAAAAGGAGGAAAACTCTCATGTCATATTTTAGGTAGTCCTAAAGTTTCTTCTGGTTTGCTTAGGGTTAGCGTAAAGAATTAAAGAAAGAGTGGGAGTTGTGAACTAGTTTTATACCATAAAATGAACATGTAGCTCGTTGTTTTATGACAGAAAAGGATTTTTTTTGCATTAGAATATAAACATTTACACTCAGTATTATACATTAACTTTTATAGAGGCATATTAAAGCTAACTGATAGCATAATATATCTGAGTTTTTTGGTACCTCAATATGGCATGGATTTTTCAATCTAAAAAATATTTTGTTGTTTGTGTGCATGTGTGCAATTTAAATGATAGCACAGATTTACACATTTGCCATAAATTAGAGGGAGTTTCTTAATCATTCCTTTCTGACTTTGAGTTCAACCGTAGGTTGGTCGTGCTCTCGCAGCTGCATTTTTAATTTACTGCCTCAGTCCGTCAGGCATTGTGTACAGACTGCATACACACCATTAGTTGTCAGTAGATGAGGGTCCTCATGAGTCATTCTGACAGCTAGCTTGCACTATCACAATAAAATAGGCCCTGTTCTGTTATTTACCTGAAGCTGGAAACAAGCCTTCTCCAAGGAATGCATATCTTCCAAGACATTTCAGATCATTTATCATTAAGCATCTTGACTTTCAAAATGGTTTAATTACTAATTGTGTATTGATAGTAGATTAATCTACTTCTTTGTTCTTCTTACAGTTTTTGGCACTGGGCACACATTATGGCAAGGTTTATTTACTTGATGTCCAAGGAAACATCACTCAGAAGTTTGATGTAGTAAGTATATGGTGTAAAATAATGTTTGGCTAAACTTCATGCTAAGAGTATGTGCTTTAGAATATTAGTTTTAACAGTTTATTTTGACAGTATAAAGAGGATCTTTATCAATTAAATCAGTGCTAAGGGTATAAATC